TTGCTGAGTCCGGTATATGTCAGAACCTGATGTCGGAATGCCACCTGTGAAAGCTCAATGGTATTTTCGCCAGTTGCTTAATGGACTGCAGCATATTCACAGCATGGGTGTAGTTCACAGAGATATCAAACCAGAAAATCTTCTACTTACAGGACAAGGTAAGGACAGGCTTAGCATTCTTCAGATTGCATTATGCTTAGAAAATTGTTAACAGTTCCTTTTCCTCAGATATTTTGAAGATATCTGACTTTGGAATGGCAACAGTTTTTCGACATAGTGATCGAGAACGTATGTTGAATGCGACCTGTGGAACACTTCCGTACGCATCTCCGCAAGTTATAAAGGGACTATACAAGTAAGTGGATTTGGAACATTCAATGTACTAACAAGAACTTAGGACAGCTGGTTGTAGAGAAGCTAAGTATTTGAAAAAATTCAAAACTTACTTTAGTGTAGGTTAGGTTAGGGTTCTCTTTAAATGCGCAGAATCAAACTTTCCAAAGTAGCGTATATCGTATCCCGATCTTACTTCTGTTTATTGAAATATTTGAAGAGCTGAACCAGTGGACATATGGTCATCAGGAATTGTACTCATTGCAATGTTAGCCGGAGAGCTTCCCTGGGACTCTGCCTCCAAGTAGGTTCTTCCACTTCCTTTGCTCACAATATTTCGACGTTTGTGTTCGAATGTCGAATATACAATAACCATTCCAGCGACTGCCCTGCGTACAAGGAGTGGGTCACTGGAAGCGTAGCCCTTACTGAAGCGAATCCATGGAAAAAAATTGACAACGCAGCATTATGTAGTTGATTTAGTGAGTTTTTTAGCAGCCGCTTTTAATGTGACATTTCAGCGTTGATAAAAGCTATGCTAATCCATGACGAAAATACGCGGGCAACCTTGAAGCGAATCATGGAGCATCCGTGGACCAATGCAGATTTCGGTAATAGCTGTTTCCTTTATTTTCTTAGTTGTTTTCTAGTTTATGTTGTTAGTGCCTTATCTTATATTCTGAATGGTTTATTCACCTTCCATTCAATTGTATTCTAATTGTTTCAGTAAATAGCAAGGAGAATATTAACGTTCCAGCCTTGAAAAGGCAACGAT